CGCGATGGTGGGGCAACTACACGGGGGAGGCGAAGCGGAAAACGAGGCGGTTACGCGGGGGGTGGGAATACCACGAGCTTCGCGAAACAAAGAACACAACAACAACAATCAGGAATACGCGTGTCATTTCAGGGGCACGGGGGCTCATCGGGCATCTCGGATGGTTCACCGTCGGGAGGTCGCAGTTCAAGGGGCTACGAAACATCGCGTCAGATACCTTTGGGGGGCTTCAGGTTGCCGCGTTCACCCCGGGGTCCGGGTTTGCCAAACGGTTGCACGCGTTCGAAGTGGTTTTTTCTGAGGCTGGAAAAGTTCTGATACAGCTCAGCCCCACAGGAGTTCAAAATGAACCTCGCCAAAAACCCCTTGGTCAACGCAGCGCTGAGTGGCGCTGAAGTCCTTGCCAGGCCCCGAGGGCCGCTGCAGCCAGCTAGCTGGCTTGCAGGTGATGCAGCGTCTTATTGCGAAGGGGCGCCGCGCCGCGCTGAGCGGCGCGGCAAAGTATCTGGATGGGGCAGGGCACGTTGTCCAGATGCCGCGGGGGGACTTCCTGCTCCAGTTTACGGTGGCACCTCTGTTGATTGACCGGCGTGCTCGCAGGTCGGAGTGGCCGAGGGCGATGATTTCGAACGGCGAGCGGCGCGCTCAGTATCTATCAGTGTGCATTGGGATAATGGCGGTAGGTGGGGGTCCATTCGATGAATGGGGGAGGGTGCCACCTGCGGCGCGTCCGTGGGCTGCGCAGTCTCAAGCCTGCATTGGCGCCCTGATTGCGACAGAGCCAGACGTGCAGCTTCTCACCGAGCACGCGCGCAGCACTCGTGACATTTGGTTTCGAGGGCCCGGGGCTTTCGCGCAGTTCGATTTCGGCGAGCCCCATTCAGTATTTTCCACCGTTCGCACCGATGGGGGCTGCGACGGCCCCCGAAGCAGAAGCATGCGAGGAGGTGCATGGATGCAGCACAGGAAGAGGATAGCACAACATGTGGGATCCTGTGGGCCACCAAACAACATCCCATGTCACGCATGTGCACGATGGAAGGGGGAACGCATGGAAAAGGTACATGCGGGGTCTTCATGCACTCTGACATGCACGTGTCCGTCCGCGCTTCGGAGTGCGAAGTCTGTCGGGCGCCAAGTCATGGCCAGCACTCGTCGAAATTATTGCCTTCCTGCTTGAATGTGGTTCGAAGGTGCTTGCAGCGGGCCGGAAAATTCTACAGTGTCCGACATGTGAGTATGAAGTTGATTCAGGAGACATTTTGCTTGAGCGCTGTGGGCATCATCTTCAAAAACTTCTTCTTCCGAACCTTCATGTCCGCACAGGATGTGCTACTCCTCGCTGTGAACGGGCTTCGGGCACAAGAGGAGTCGAACCCAGTCTGTCACCGTGGCGGACCGCGGCGCACGGCGGCGGCAGCAGCATCGTCAGACGGAGGAGACGCAGTACGCCGCCCATGGCTGGCGAGGCCGCGAGGAACCAGCTTCGCGCAGCCTGCGCCGAAGCAGAGGGGCCAACGCCAGGCCGCTTGCGGAGTCCACGTGGGGATGGGCGAGGGCGAGGACGAGGAGGACGGAACCATAGCAGGAGACGCCAAGACGCCCGCGGCACAGTTGGAGGCCCGAGTGCGGGCGTTCGAGCACCAGACAATGTCCGCGGCCATGCTTCAACGGGAAGTGCGCCACCAGCAAAGTGGCGTTCAATGCGTGCCAGGACGTCATCAAGAAGAGCCAATACAAGCCCGAGGAGGGCATTGAAGCGCTTAGCCACCACGTCTTCTACGCGGTTCAGAGCGCCTTAGAGACATGGTCCTTCGCGGACGCGCTGGAGCGACGCATGCGGTGCTCGGCAGTACTGCAGCGGGTGACTGCGTGCTGGAGATGTGCAGTCCACGCGACGCGTCGCATTGGGTGCGGACGATGGTTTGTCTGCCAACGCGCGACAGGCTTGGGAGGGACGCCACGATCCGGATCATATTTCACTTGGTAGGGCACACGCTGCTACCAGAAGACGAAGCACAGGAACATAAGCTTCTAGCAGCGCTGCGAGAAGGAGATCCAGGCCTGGCTAGCATTAAGAGGTTGAGTCCCGTCGAGCTGCCCACAGCCATGATGACGATGAAGGGTAGCCCCGTAACGATCGAGAAGATATTCGGTGAGGTGTTGAGGGCCGCGGGCGCTAGTGTCATGGCGAGCACGGCTCCCAGAGGGAACCTAGCTCGTAGACTTGGTGGTGGGAGGCGAAAGCGATCTCCTCTCCACACGGTGTGCAGCTTCAGGCCTGCGTGTTATAATGTATATAGGAATCATACGCTGCGCTGTGGGGTGGGGGTCTTTTGTTTGGGTGCAGTGTGTTCGTTCGTTTTCGTCGGTGAGCAGACCCCCACTCCACTAGCCGCAGGCCAAGTTCCAGACAGGAGTTTAGCCGTGCCCCCTCGCTGGCACCGCAGACAAGTGCATCAGCCCAGCGCTCGGCAGAGGCTCCGTTCACGCGTGTCGCAGATGTCACCTCGCGATGTAGTCATGGGTGGCCCTCGCCAGGGCAATAGTCGAAGCATCGTTTGAGCAGGCAGTGTTCTCAACGTTGTTGAGGTCGCCTAGGTGGTGGTGGGTGAATGAATGCATGAATAGACGCATGCATGCATGCACGCATGAGTGCATAAAAAGGAGGAGGAGGAGGCGGAGGAGAAGGAGGAGGAGGAGGACGAGGAGGAGGAGGAGGAGGAGGAGGAGGAGGAACGCGCGGCCGAAAAAGGGGGCGGGAGAAGCGGACGGGTCACACCCCGAGCGCGTGGAGCGGCCAGCCCCGCCGGCGGGCCCGCGGCGGTTGGTGCGTCGGCGGGCCCGGCGGCGGCGGAGCCCAGTGCGGGGGATGGAGCATCCTAGGTGTGAGGGCTCATAACGATCAGTATCAGAGCCTGGCGGCAGCCCGTGCCCAGGGGAATTGGACGTCCGAGCGGCCGCAAGTTCATAAGATAAATCCTCCGCCTCGCATCCGAACTGTTTTTGCGTGCCCCTCGAGGCGCACGGCCCGCGGTGGTTCCTGCAACACGGACGACGAGCAGGGGTCGCGCACCAAGGTCACGGGCAGCGCCTGGGGGGGAAGACGCTCACCGGGGGAGGGGGTGCATCGACCCCCACGCTCGACCATGGATCGCCGATGGGGGCCGGATAGCCCCACCCCGACCAAGAGCGCGCGGATTCGCCATCGGGGGCCCCTCGGCGATGCATCGTCGATTCAAGGACGACGTCCCCCCCCATTACCCAGACCCCCCTCCTTTCTCGGCGGCGAGCCCAAGTGAGAAGGGGCGGGCCTTTTCAGAAGTTTCGGAAATCCCCCGGCCTTCTCTGGAATCCTTGAAACCCTCCCCGAAGACACTGAACACTTCCCCGGAGGTGCGAGGGCTTCTGAGAAGCCCCGCCACCTTCTGAGGATGTCTTTTCCTTTTCGCTTTCCCCCTTTCGCTCACCGCCGACTGTCGTCTCTCCTCCTGTGTCCCAGGCTGTTTCGGCCTTGTGGGAGGACCTTCAAGGCCTCCCGTTTGCCAGCGACTCGGATGACGACGACGACCTTTCCCGCGATTTGCGGAGCTGGGTCGAATAGCGTCTCCACCGCTGGCTGTCACTTTTTTAACAGGCTGGTTCGCGTGCGGCTGGTCTTTGTCAGTGCAAAAAACCGCCGACTGTCGTCCACCCCCCCAAAGGGGTCCCCTGACCTGCACCTGGAGACGATGAGCGCCGGCGAGTGGGCGGCGCGCCTCCTCTGCACGAGCGCCAGCGAGCGGCGCGAGGCCACCGTCGCCTTGGTGAGCCGCATAGAGGCCTGGAGCCGGCCGGGGGGCTGAGGTGGGCTGGCACTCTGGCCCCCACGGGGAGAGCTATAGACAGAGGGGGAAAAGGTACCCATATCTCTACCCTTCCCTCGTTTTCCCCTTTGCGGGCCTCCTGGGAGGATCTCGTCGCCACCGCTGGATTCGCCTCGAAATCCCGGTCAGAACGCACACCGGGAGAGGTCCGGGGAGCAGCGGTATCGGTACTTTTTGGTCTCCCCATATAGTTCGAAGAACAGAACATGCCATAAACATGAACTTGTGGCGGTCCGCGCGGATCTCTTGGATCTGCGCTGGGACCTCTTGGCGGCGCGTCCTGGGGGGTCCAGCGCAGATCCAAGACATCCGCGCGGACCGCAAAAAGTTGACGGTCATGGCGTTTACTTCTCCTCCACAGAAAGCCCATGTCGCGGAAAAAAACGAGAGAGAGGGAGGGTTTCATAGTTGGCGGCCTCTCGGGGCCCTCACTGGCATCGGGGCCGTCGAAGCACCACTCGGGACGACAAGCCCGTTCCCTCTGGGCAGTGGTCGGGACGTCGAGGGCCCGCGTCTCCAACAGCATCGACGCGCCGGAGGGGCGGAGCGTTTTATGTTCGCGGCGGGTGTTTCCATGCAGCCTCTCCACTTACCAGCCTGGAGCATATCCCTATGCCTATGCTGGGCACCTCCTCATCACGATGCCAATCTTGGGGCTTCCCTTACTTTTTGAGGGCGAACCCCTAAGATTGTCATCGCCTTTTGGCGTGTCAATCTTAGGGGTAGGGATACGTTCGAGGCTGGTAATCCACCTCCAGCACCTTCCGCGCAGAGGGTGGCTCATGCAGTGGTCTTCTCGAGGGGCGAAGAACGGCATGATTGTAAACGTTGGGAGGGATCAGCGCGGATCTCTCGGATCAGCGCTGGGCCCCCCTGGCGGCGCCTCCTGCGCCGCCCCTGGCGCGCTCCGCGCTCCAGGGAGGGGGGTCCAGCGCAGACCCAAGAAATCCTCGTAGAGCTCCAACAGTTTGCGCTTATGCCTTTTTGGGGTCCCTCGAGACGATCGCTAAATCATCGACCTGCTGGCCGGACGATGTGGAAGGTGGAGTGCCAGGGCTTCAGTCCGTCACAGATGGATTTGGTTCGAAACATGGCGCAGAAAGCTGGGGTCAAGGGCCCTGGGTCGTAAAATTCGACGATGGTTCAATTTTGTTCTCGACGTCGGATCTCAGGGGAGGTGGCCCAGCTCTTGTCCTGGCCGGCAGGACTGGTGGAGAAAGGCTCCCCCTCGTTGCCTCGGCTGGACGCGGCTCGAAAGCGGGACCGATTTTCAGCCAGTTTGCCCTCGCCCCCTCTCTTGACCCATCTCCTAGGGCAGACCCCTGGCCGCCTCCAAGCAGAGGCCTCGCTCACCTCCGGTGTCCTGGAGGGCCTGGAGAAGGTGCAGCGGCAAGGCTTCGAGCTGCGTGCAGAGAGCCTGCTCGGGCAGGCCCGGCTGGCCCGAGCGGGCCCCCGACCATCACCACCCACCAAACCACCCCGACCCAACCCGAAGGTCCAAATGCACCCTCGATGTCCAGTGGGGGGGTCGGGGAACGCTGGAAAAACACATGGGGCTATGGGCTGGGGTGGTCTGGTAGGTGGTCGGACCAGTCGCAGGGAGGTCTCGGCGCCCCGGCGCCGCCTGCGTCGGGCTCCGGCAGGCGCTGCACGCCCCAGGGCCTGGTGTGCGGCGACCGCCCGGGGCCGCTCGGAGGGCCGGCTCCCGGGAGGGTCTGTTTGTGCACGCCCTCCCAGGCCCAGTCGGGCTTCTCCACCGCCCAGTGCCATGTGCAGTGCAGTCGGGTCGTTGACCGAAGGAGCCCCAAATGAGGAGCGGGGCCCCTTTTTCCCACCAGGTGAAGTTCGATTTCCCATCGAAAGCCGGAGGAACACCTGAGGCAAGCTGTGAAACAATCAAGGAACACGGAGCCCCTCCCCAACGAAAAAGGTTCCTTCTTCCACGCCCCGACTGCACACAAAGAACCACGCCCCAGGAAGGGAATCCTGCATACCAGACCCGTGGCCAGGACTCGGTCACCCCCCCAGGTTTGTGGGGTAGAGATGGTGTGCAATTTTTTCGGGCGGACTGTTGGGGCCAGCGGAGACGACTCCGGAGACTGTGGAGGCCAGCCGAGACTGCCTGGGTGGGGCTATCTCTGCGCAGCCCGAAGCCTTGCCAGAGAAGTTCCGAATAGGGTATCAACTACATAATTGATTTACGCCAGAATTTTTCCCGTGCGCACAGCTTCCGTGGATCTACGCACATCAGACGTAGTTTTCGCTGAGCTGGCGGGAAATTCAACTGGGGTGAGTCAATTATGTAATCGATCCCCTACTCTGAAGGTGAAGATCGCGGACATGCTCGAGGAGGAGATTGAGTCGAGGCAGCAGGCCGTGTCGCTCCAGTCGTTCCACCTGGTGAAGGGCGACTTCTTGGAGCTGAAGGCGCTCCGCGAGGAGAAGGAGGAGTTCGAGAACCGCATGATGGTCATGAACAACACGTACCTGCGTGAGATTACGTCTAAGCGCGACGTGACTCGCACAGGCTGCGAGATTGCGTTCGAGACCCTCAGCAAGGAGGGCTTCGTCGGTGGCGACGTGCAGTTTTTCGAGCCCCTGCAGCATCTCAGCAACGAGGCGAGGCAGTGTGTCCTGTCCATATCCAGCTGCCTGCGGCAAGCCCAACCCCCGTGCGTGTGCAACAGCCCTCGTTGTCCACAGGCTCGTTGTCCTCTCTCTGCTTCCTCGCTTCGCCTCTTCCCTCTCCTCTCCGATTATTCTTCTTCAGCGAGTCTTGGAGGATTCTATTTGGAGCAGTTTGAGCATCTCGGGGGCCTAATAGCACCGTCCTGGTAGCCGTTTGAGAGTCTACTCTTGAGGGGCCTCCTCTGCGCTTCTTGAGGGCATCACGGGCGCCTCTTGGGCCGCTCGGGGGCGTCTTGGGGCCTTTTATAGTCCTCTCGGGGGCGTCTTGGGCCCTCCGAGGGCCTCATATGCATTCGAACACGCCCATTCCGTGCAGGCACGGTGGCGGATTAGAGGAGAAGCTGAAGGCAATTTTCGAGTGGAACCCAGAGATGAAGGAGAAGACCAGCAAGTTCGAGCTCGCCAAGTTCGAGGATTGCAAGGCTTCGGGCTGCGCACGGACAACCCCCCCAGGCAGTCGGGGCGTCGGGGCTGGCTTCCGCAGCCCCGTTAGAGGGGCCCCCGCTGGCCCACACGCGGCTCCGAGCAGTCCCGGGCGGCCTCAGCGCACCCCAACCCTGGGGCGCGGAGCGCCCCAGGAGCGTTGCCGGAGACCACGCCAGGGTGTCGAGGCCTCCCCGGCTTTTTTTCCGGGGGGCCTGTTGAGGCCAGCTGGGGCTCGGGAGGAGGTTTTGGAGGCCAGCCTGGAACTGCCGGGGGGGGGGGCTGCCCGCGGGCCGCCCGAAGTCTTCCCTCATTCTCGTTTAACCGACCCCCATCCCCATCCCAATCCCCTTCGAGACCCCCACCAGAGTACCCCCCCGTTGGGGATACACCCCTCGAAACCCGAATTCCGAGCACAGTATATGACTACCACCACCAAGATCGAGAATTATCTACGATACGATTTGGTGCGGTTTTGCTCTGGTGAAAAGCCGGCAGTCCCCCTCCCGCCGCCAACGGCAACTGGGCTGTGCCTTAAGGAATTCTCCCTGAAGGACCGAAGCAGAATTCATCAAAGCACGCGCGGTGGTGGTGTATACAATTTTGGTGACCAAGAGCAACGATTTTTATAGACCACCACCAAGAAGTGCTGTTCCTGCTTCAGGAACTTCCCATGCCACGGCGCCTGCGAGCTGCGCCGCGCTCCTTGTCGCCGCTGCGTCGCAGCGTCGTCTGGCGATAAAGTACTGTTGCGGGCGGTGGTGGTGTATAAACATTGGCCTCGTACGAATGGAACAGCCTATATCCCCATCTAGCGGGGTAAATCGGCCAGTGGGGCCCAGGCCACGCCGCTTGGGATATGGATCGGATAAACGATACTCATTCCCGTCCGAGGACGGGCTCCTGCGCGAGCGCCTGGCGTCCTACACGCGCCTCAACGCGCAGCTGCGCGAGGAGCTGCGCGACCTGCGCCAGCGAGCGAAGCAGGCGGAGCTCGGTAACCAGAAGAGCTCGTGGGAGCACCAGAAAGCCGAGGCACAGAGCGGCCAGTTGAAGAAGAAGCTGGAGCTCGGAGGGCAGGGCACGGCATAAGCATGCACTTCCGGAGGCCCGCGCGGTTTTCTTGGATCGGCCCCCTTCCTGGCGCGCGGAGCGCGCCAGGGGCGGCGCTGGAGGCGCCGCCGCCGGGGGACGTCCAGCGCCGATCTGGGACATCCGCACGGAGTTCCGAAAGTGTTTTCATGCAGCTTGATGTTGCTGTTCCTTCTCGTAGGAGCGCACGCAGCAGGAGCTGGACGAGGCCCTATCGGAGGCCGAGTACCTCCGGCAGAGGCTCGCCAAAGCAGCAGAGGCGGCCTTGCAGCGGCAGCCTCAGAGGGAGGAGGAGGAGGCGGAGGGGAAGGGCGAGGGCGAGCGGAAGGAGCAGAAGGAGGGGGGGGGGCAGCCGTTGCCGATGCCCGTTGCCCCCAAACCGGGGGTGGCCCGCGGCGTGCAGACCGACGCCACCCCGACGCCGCCGCTGTCGCGCGTGAACACCACGGACGGGGACCTGGCGGCGTGCATGCTCCCGGCGGGCAAGCCCCCCTCGAGACACCGGCGGCGGTCGGGAGTGGGCGAGGTGTTGCAGCTGTCCGACGAGGCGGACAAAATTGATGACGCCATGGAGAAGCGCCTGCACCAGGCGGAGCGGCAGGCCGAGCTGGCCACCAAGGCCCTGCACCAGCGCGACGAGCTGATCCAGTCTCTGAACTCGCGCCTGGCGGCCCTGAAGGCCGCCAGAGCCGCCGAGCCCGCGCCAGGGCGCGGCTGCGAGGCGGGAGGGCCCGCGGGCGAGGCCCCGGAGGCCGGCGCAAGCGGCGCCGGGGGCGCGGCTGTCGCCGCGGAGCGGAGTGCCAGCCATGCCGCGCCGGAGGGCAGCGCCGAGCCGCCCTCCTCGGGCCCCGCGCCGGGCGCGCCCGCAGCCGCGGCGGCGGCGGGCGGCGCTCTTGCAGCAGCTGCGCCAGCTGCGTGCTCGGGCGGAGGCGCGGCCCAGTCGGACGTCGCGGGCATCGCAGGCAGCGCACTCGCCGCGGGCAGCCAGGCCCAGCCGCGGCGGGTCGCCGCGGGCGCCGCGCGCGAGGGCTCCCCAGAGGAGGCGCAGGTGGTTGAGGGCTCCAAGGAGCAGGCGCACGTTGTGGAGGCGCAGGCGCAGGTGCGGGCCGACTTCGCCAACTCCATCGTAGCCTCCCTGCGGGAGGAGCTGCAGGCGTCGCGGGAGGAGGTGGCCGCAGCGGAGGAGCGGCTGCAGGCTGCTGCGGCTGGAGGGGAGAGCAGCGCCGGGATCGTGCAGCTCGAGGCTGAGTCGCGGGCCAGGAAGGCCGCGTGCGACGAGCTGGAGAGCTGCAAGGCCTCGCTCGGTCTGGCGCAATCTCGCATCAGGGTGCTCGAGGCAGCTCTCGGGGCGCAGACACTGGACTCCAGCGCCATCTCTGAGGATGAGGAGGAGCTTGACGAGAAGCGTGAGCACGTGTCCACCGAGCTCGGGAACATGGCGACCCGGGCGGCTGCAGCGACGCAGTTCAAAGCCAGGGCCGCCCTGGAGGATCAGAAGACCGCCCTGCGCAGCAAGGTAAGGGCGCAGAAGGCCCAGCTGGGCTCCATACTCCAAGAGAATACCGTCCTGCACCTGGCCCTGGAGGATCGAAGAAGAAAACTGCTCAAACATAAACTTTCCTAGATTCGCAGGGGTATCTGGGATCGGCGTTGGGCCTCCCTCCACAGCGCGCGAGGCGCGCCAGGTGCGGCGTCGGAGGCACCGCCAGGGGGGCCCAGCGCCGACCCAAGACACCGCCGCGGAGCTCGGCAAGTTTACGGTGCGGCCGCTTCTTCATCTTTTGTAGAGGAGGTGCAGCGGGAGATGCACTCCCTCACCTCCAGGCTCCGCAAGCGCATCCCGGAGAGCCAGGGGAGGAAGGTGGACGTCGAGTCCGTGCTCAAGAGGATGGAGAAGGTTCGCTGCGGTAAGACCCTCCCATGAACGGAAACTTTGGGTCTGCTCGAAAGGTCGCCGCGGCGATCGCGGCGGCCACACATCGGGGCAATGTTATTGGCAAGGCCCTCCCCCCCGCCCGCTCTGCATGGCCCGTGATAAACAGTGCACTAGTTATATATGTCTCTATGTTTAGATTCGTGGTGTGCGTACATATATATATATATACATATCTATACATATATATATATAGATATATGCAAATACAACATGCACGTACGAGTACACAATACACACATGTAATCATGTGACCACCAAGGGCCGTCAGCTCATGCCCAACCATGAACGGTCATGCTTCTCCCTCGATGCTGGGGCCGAGTGCCACGACGCAGCCCGAGGTGGCGGCCAGCGGCGTCGGCGGCTACATCCGCCTCCACAAGCAGGCCCAGCTCCGGCAGGTGGCCGCCGTCGCGCAGGCGGGCGAGGCCCGCGCCGATGCCCGTGCGCCCGAGGAGGGCACGCCGCCCCCGGAGGGGCCCGCGCAGAAGCGGGGCCGCGGCACGCCCGCCGAGTCGGAGTCCACGTTCGCGAGGACCTCGGAGGATGGAAAGCGAAAAGACGGCATGAACACTACAGTCGGGGCCCTGAAGAAGGAACCCTTTTCGTTGGGGAGGGGCTCCGTGCTCCTTGATGGTTTCACAGCTTCCCTCAGGTTTTCCTTTGGTTTTCGATGGGAAATCGAAGTTTAACTTATGGAAAGAAGGGGCCTCGTTCCTTATTTAGGGTTCCTTCGGTCAACGCCTCGACTGTAAACGTTTGGCGCTCCGCGCGGATCTCTGCGATCCGAGCCCAGGCGCCCCCGGGCGGCGCCTCCAGCGCCAGGGAGGGGGTCCGGCGCAGGTCCAAGAAATCCGCACGGAGCGCCACAAGTTTGTGTTTATGGTGTTTTTTTTTTTCTAGAGGAGGAGTATGTGGTCGGATGGCCCGACAGAGTCACGTCGGAAGGTTTTTGGTCGTTTCTGGCCTCTCTGGGGCCCTCGCCGGGCCCAGAAGCATCAAAAACGGACTCGGGATGACAAATTTGTCCTGGGGCCTCGGTCTCACCTTTTTGGATCTCTTGGGGTCGACTGCGCGTAAGCGTGACCTTTCGTTGGAGTGACTTTTGGTGCGTGGCCAACGGGGCCCCTCGATCGCTGAATGCGATGCGAAGGCAGTGGTTTGCGCGACTATTACCAGCCTGGAACATATCCCTATCCCTATGCTGGGCATCTCCTCATCACGATGCCAATCTGAGGGATTCCCTTATTTTTGGAGGGCGCATACCTAAGATTGTCATCGCTTTTTGGCATGTCAATCTTAGGGATAGGGATATGTTCGAGGCTGGTAAGAATAGTGGTGTCCCCAGAGGGGGAGCCCCCCTTCAGGCCGCGCGCCCAAGGTCACTCTTGTCTAGGGTCAGTCTTGCATGTAGCTAATCGGAGGCACTCGTCGTCACGCCCGGCATTGCCTCGACATTCTGGTTGGGATGCACCACGGAAGAGGTCCAGGGAGTAGCTCAGAGCGTGAATTACCTACCCCGCTTTCGCTTCCAGGCAACACCAAGTCATACCACGCGCCTCCTCGTCAAGCGGCCTGACCAGTACAGGCCGTAGTTTGGCATCGCTTGGTATCTCTTGGAAGCGAGGGTGGTCAAAAGCGAGGTAGGTTTGGTTTCCCCCTAGTAGCGGTATCTTTATGAGGTTGGTTTCGTTTGTCTGTATGTGTTGTCGCACAGGGTGGCGTAGTGGTTGCCCATGGGGGCAATGCAGGATGACGATTAATAATTGGCCAGGGTTCGTATTGCGTCGGCGGCGCCCCGGAGGATGATTGGAAGAAACAGGCCGCGGGTTGGGAACCTATGTTTTGATCGTTCCCCCCCATGCCGTCCTCGGGCGCGCGCGTAAAGCCGACGTAGAATGGTCGGTTTACCTAAAATATGAAGCCGACGTGAAATTTATTTTTTATGGTAAAATTTTAATTCGACGTGGATCATACATTTGACGTCACATGTGAATCCGACGTCAAATGAGCATTAGACATACTGTCTGAAGCCGACGTGGAACGAGTATTTGACGTATAAGTTTGACGCCGACGTAGAACTGATATTTGACGTAAAATTTGAAGTCGACGTCAAATGAAACGTCACATTTGACGACGACGTGAAATGAGTTTTCGACGCAATATTCGAAACCGACGTGCAATATACATTTGTTCATCGTCCTCCTCCGGTTGAAAAATCATATAGAAATCAAAGAAACTATGTTTGAATCGTCCCCCTATTTTCATGTAATCGTCATCTTGCATTACTGTCGAAGACTCTGCTTGAGAATGTGCCATCTGACGCAAGATGTAAACAACGTTTGTCCATCAGACGTGCGCACAGGTCTGAATATTGAGCCAGTAATGGTTACGGAAGGCTTCGCTCTCGCACCCTGGTCTCGCTTAATTTTATTATTGCAACATTTGCAGACCTGCCCGGCCGACTTGTCAGACAGCTTGACTCTTGGCCCGTCTGGTGTTTGGGCGACCGACCGGAGAACTCGTGTTTTAGTTGCCTCCGCTGGCCACATCGTGGGAATACGACCTCGGGTGCCGGACGACCGCTCATGCACACCGAGGCCTATCCTACTAGGGCCATGGGTGCCCGTACACGACTCAGGTCAGAGTCCCGAATCATCAGGGGTAACTCGGGTCAGGGCTAACTCGGGTTCCTTTTTCGGGATTCCGAACCCGACTTACCCCGGACCCGACTTACCCCGGATAATTCAGGCGTCCAGAGCCCGGAATCATCAGGGGTAACTCGGGTCACGGCTATTTCGGGTTCCTTTTTCGGGAATCCAAACCCGAGTTACCCCGGACCCGAGTTACCCCGGAGAACTCGGGCGCCCAATCAGGCGCACCGAGAACACCGTGGATGGGTCGCTTGTTTTTCAAATTGGTCTGGGAAGAAGCGTCATGCTACGCTCAGTGGTACACCGTAGTGGTACCTTTCGGCCTCCCCTCGGCGGCGTGCGATGGGGGGAAAGGGAGAAGGAGAGGGCCTTCTCTTGAGGCGGCGGGGCCTCTCAGAAGCCCCTGCGCTTTCCGAGAGGCTCCCCGTGTCTCCGCGGAAGGCCCAGGCAGCTTCTCGGAAGGCCGGGGGACTTCCGAGCCTTCTGGGGAGGCCCGCCCCCTTCTCACCTGCTCCCCAGGGTCTTCGCGGAAGGCTCAGACAGCTTCTGAGAAGGCCGGGGGACTTCCGAGCCTTCTGGGGAGGCCCGCCCCTTCCCACCTGCTCCCCGGGGTCGCCGCCGCTCCCCAAGGACGATCAGCTGCGAGAGCCACTCGTCCTCCGCGGCCGCGCCGGCGGTGCTGTCCGCCGTCTCCTTCACGCAGTTCGGGGCCACCGAGGTCCGCAAAGCTGTCCGAGGAGAGGCCACGGCACAGACACTGGCCGTCGGAGCCTCGCGCGGCGGAGCCTTCGGGTTCGGCGCTTGGCGCCACCTGAGGGCTCCTCCGTCGAGTAGGGATCGGCTTCCGCATTGGTATTACCCCAGAGTTGAGCTTCTCGCCGCATCTACAAATCATGTACGACAGCTCCACGTATGTGTCGTAGATCCGGTGGGGAACATTAACAAGTGGCACGCGTGCCATGGCTCTTGCCCCAAAAGGAAGGGGGAGGAGGAGGAGGGGGAGGAGGAGGGGGGAAGAGGGGGCAAGACATCGCCCCTCGCGGCCCAGCAACGGGGCCCAAATCCCAGGTGGGGAGGAGGGGGGAGGTGGTGTGCGTCGCGACGCGGAATAAAGTGCTCGGAGCGGAGGGGGCACTGGGCGGAGGTCCCACTGGGGCGCTGGGGGCACGCAGAGGAGGGGGAGGTGGTGTGCGTCGCGAGGCGGAATAGTCGGAGTGGAGGGGGCACTGTGCGGGGCTTGCGGCAGAGAGCCACGGGGCGGGGGTCCAACTGGGGCGCTGGGGACGGGGGGGGAAGGGGGGGAGGTGGTGTGCGTCGCGACGCGGAATCAAATTCTCGGGGCGGGGCCTCCATTGTGGCGCTGGGGGCGCGGGGAGGGAGGTGGGACAGGTGGTGTGCGTCGCGACGCGGAATAAAGCGTTCGTGGCGGAGGGGGCAGTGGGCGGGGCTCCCGCTGGGGCGCTGGGGACGCGGGGAGGCTCGGGGCAGAGAGCCACGGCGCGGGGGTCCGTCTCTGGCGCTGGGGACGCGGGGGGGGGGGGGGCGGGGGGGGCGACGCGGAATCAAGTGGTCGGAGCTCTAGACACCTTGTGCAAGATAATGTTGGGGTAAACCAATTCTTCAGTCAATCCCCTACTCGACTCCTGCACCGCACCTGGCGCGCTCCGCGCGCAAGAGGGGGACCCAGCACGGTCCAGGAAATCCGCATGGAACTCCGAAAGCGTATGTTTAATTACGCTTTGTTCGTTGCCCTTATCGAGGAAAGGGGCCTCGAGCTCGCAGCGGGCACTGCGAGGCCCTTCTAGCGATACTGGGCCCCTTCCCGGGTATCCGTTTGTCATCCTTTTCTGAAGGCCCCCAGCCCAGAAGGGATCCCTGGAGGCAGAACTCGTTCGAAAGCCTCCCCGCACGATTGTTGCACGACCCGATTGGTCGAGCATCGACTGCAGAATTGATCTACCCCATACTTGATTTTGCCTATCGACTCTGCGGCGAAAGCGAAAACAGGTTCGTGAACCTACCGAGGACTCTGAGTCTTCCCCCTCCATTCGACGGGGGAAAGCTCATTTTTGGAGCAATTCACTTCTGCAGCAGATCCCCTGCTCGATCCACGCGGCATACACGGTCTGCAGATGTCTCTCCCGCGCCCCCCCCCGAGGTCCCGATGGCCCGGGCGGGCGCCGCGGCGCCCAGCGGCGCCAGGGCGAACCCGCTGAAGTACTCCCCGCGGGGGCCCCCGGGCGGGGTGGGGACCGCGCCGCGCGGCGGGGCCGGGCGTCGCGGCCGCCGCGCTGCTCGGGGACCCCCTCCTCCCTCCTCCTCCCCCTCCTCCTCCTCCTCCTCCTCCTCCTCCTCCTCCTCCTCCTCCTCCTCCTCCTCCTCCTCCTCCTCCTCCTCCTCGTCGGGGCCGTCCTCGGAGGACGCCTCTCGGGCGGCGGGGGCGTCCGGGGTCCCGGGAGCCGTGCACGTGGCCCCTGCGGGCCGCGCGGTGAGGTTCTGCCGGGAGGAGGGGGGAGCTCCGAGGGCACCACGCGCTGCGTCACCGGACGGTGCTGGGCGCGTTTTCCACCACCACCAGAAGTTGGAGGGGGAAGGGGTCTTCCTCCTCCTCCTCCCCTCCTCCTCCTCCTCCTCCCTCCTCCTCCCTCCTCCTCCTCCTCCTCCTCCTCCTCCTCCTTCCTCCTCTCCTCCTCCTCCTCCTCCTCCTCCTCTCCTCCTCCTCCTTCCCCCTCCAACTTATGGTGGTGGTGGTGGTGGTGGTCGTGTGGTGGTGGTGGTGGTGGTGGTGGTGTGGTGGTGGTGGTGGACCACAGGCTCAGCAGTTCTGGCCCCCCTCGGAGGTACAGGTCCCAGCCTCTGCGCTCCGCCCGGGAGCCCGGCGCCGCCGCGCTGGCCGACCTGCAGGCCGCGGGCCTGGCGTTCCAGCCGCTTGCCTCCCGCACGCGCGCCGAGAGCCTGGGGCACCGCGTCTGCTCGGGCGACCTCGAGCTCCCGTCCCCGAGGCGCAGAACCCGGCGCGAGCACGTGTTGGTGGGCCTGTGTTCCACCACCGCCACCAGAAGTTGGAGGGGGAGGGGGTCCTCCTTCCCCCTCCTCTTCCTCCTCCTCCTCCTCCTCCTCCTCCTCCTCCTCCTCCTCCTCCTCCTCCTCCTCCTCCTCCTCCTCCTCCCCCCTCGTCCTCCTTCCCCCTTCTCCTCCTCCTCCTCCTCCTCCTCCTCTCCTCCTCCGCCGCCGCGCCGCCGCCGCCTCCTCCTTCCCCTCCTCCTCCTCCTCCTCCTCCTCCTCCTCCTCCTCCTCCTCCTTGCCCCCTCCAACTCATACATGGTGGTGGTGGTGGTGGTGGTGCAAAACGGGCCCATCACATGCTTGCTCGGAGCTCCGCGCGGACTTCTTCGATACCAGACTCCCCCGCGCCGTGAAGGCACGACGGGAGGCCTGGGGCAGTGCTCGGCCTGCAGGCTCCCTCACCCTGGCCCTCCAGAGCGCTACAAAGCAGCACTCCAAACTTCTAGACCTACCTGGACTGCCCAAAGCCTCGATTGGGATGTGGGGACCGAGGTCCAGGTCCTGCTTCTGAGCCCTCCTGAGAGGTCAGGCTGCGGAGCCCCAGGACCCTCCAGAAGCGACCCTGGATGCAAAACCAGTCCCTGCATGGTGAGTCTGGGCTCGGCGCCTGGGCCCCCCTGCCGGCGCCTCCGGCGCTGCCCCCGGCGCGCGGGGAGCGCGCTGGGGAGGGGGGCCAGCGCCAGACAGAGGCAACGATTGGGGGGGGATAGGCAAAGGGGGGGAGGCATCGACCCCCAATCGCACACTGATCGCCGATATGGGGCCCGATAGCCCCCATTCTGCCCAGGAGGGTGCGGATTCGCTACCGGGGGCCGGGCGCCCATCCATCGGCGAGGCATCGCCGATGTCAGGTCGATGCTTCCCCCCCTATATGCCTGTCCCCCCCTGTCGTAGCCCCTCGGCCAGGCCCGAGAACTCCGTGCGGATCGCTCCGAAAGGTTGTGCTTGTGGCTTATGATGTTCCAGCCTACTCTAGCCTGAAGCACCAGAAAGAATCTCGAGCGCTGAGAAAACACCGGAACTGGCCGGCTTTCACGTGTCGGGCTCCGGGAGGCGACACTCGTTCGACACCGTATTCAACGTTCTTTCTGGGTGCTCGAAGTTACTTTGGGGGATTTGGTCCTTCCGTGCGACGGGAGCAGCATCGCCTGTGGCGTCTGGTTCTGCGCCTCGCCCGTCCCCGAGCACGGCGCGGCTGCCCGGCCACTTCCCCCAGCGGGGCGCGCTCGAGCGCAGCTTTCGGGAGCCCCCCTCGCCCAGGCGCCAGGAGCGGGGAGGCGCGGCGGTGGAGTCCGAACCGTCTACCCTGTCCCTCTGCAGGAGGGATACTCAAGAACAGTAAAAACATATTCAGGGGGCATTTTTTTGTTTTACCATTTGGGGCCATTTTCCTACGTCTTACTGGTATGTTTCGATTTTTCGCCCCAAATCCGTCTGTAGGGGGACACGCCGGGGCTCGAAGAAGAAGAAAATTGCCATAAACACATAAACTTGTGGCGCTCCGCGCGGATCTCTCGGATCCGCGCTGGGCCCTCCCGGCCCCGCCTCCGGTGCCGCCCCTGGCGCGCTCTGCGCGCCAGGGAGGGGGGTCAGCGCAGATCCAAGAGATCCGCGCGGAGCGCCAAAAGTTCATGTTATTGTTTTGTTGTTTCTTCTTCTACTGGCGCCATGAGCCTAGGCCACAGCGAGGATGCGCTCCGCGGTCTGGGCGATTTCGGAGCGAGGCGCGAGTTCGTCATCCTGTTCGGGGGGGGGGGCGGCGCGACTGTGCGAAGATCATCACGGTTCGCAGAGCACGAAGCACGAAGATAGTTGCCCCAGGCGAGAGGGGGGGGCGGGCGATCGTTGCGTGATGTCCGACCCCGGGTCAGACCTCCAGGTCGGTGTTTCAGAGGAGGAAGAGGTACCGATATTGCTACCCTTCGCCCGCTTTTGCGTTCGTGTGTGTGTGGCCCACGTTGCAATTGCTGGATTCGCCTCGAAATCCCGGTCAGAGTGCACCCAGGGAGGGGTCCGGGGAGTAGCGGTATCGTTACCTTGTGGTTTCCTTCTGTTGCGTGATCCGACCCCGGACAAGAGTTCCAGGTCGGTTTCGGGGGTGGCGACGGCGATCGGTGCGGCCTCAAATCGGAGCAAGGTTTTTGTCAAGGAGTGGCGTGCCCTTAACCAGCCCAAAGTCCGTTCTCCGATGTAGACGCGGCTCATCATTATGCATATACTTACTTGGCGTTGCATGTTTGGTCCAACATGGGCAGTTCAGGTTGTTGAATCAGGGGGCGGTCATCATGCAACCAGGCGGGGTCACGAAGCTGCCGGTCCTGGGGGTGCCGCTGCTGCAAGACGCCGTCACGCGCAGCCCGTCGGAGAGCCTGAGTTTGCGCCTCTAGCCTGTCTCGGCAGCGGCCAAGTGTATGGTGCGTCCGCCTCGTGTCGTCCGGCGGCGACCCCGCCGCTGGCAGTCAACCTTTTGAACGCCGCCAGCGACCCAGAATCGGTCGATGCTGAAGGATCTGACGTTGGGGAAGATGCCGGAAACCAGCGCCGCAGTCGGCACGACACGAGCCCGCCGTATAGGCACCCCGGCGCCTGCCGAGGTCCGCGGCTCCCCCCGACCTGGCGCGGCGACGCGCCTCCGCGGAGCGGGGCCGTCTTCCAGCGCAGCGTCAGGGGGGGGGGCGGGCGCAGAGGTGGGCGGGGGACAGAGGGTCTTGTCGGAGGCAACGAGAAGGGAAGATGGGCATACAGCGGGGGCGCTTATCATCGGGCCGGACGAAAGGGGGGGATCGGGAAAGGGGGGGGGTACGAAATTTGCTGCATGCAGCTGGTTTGGGCCTCACCGAGGGGCCCATTCCTCGACACATAGCCGCCTCCGGCGCCGGGAGGCGCTGGGAAAATCAGCTACGTGAGCTGATTCTCAAACCCCCCCTTTGCTATCCCCCCCTTTCGCCCGACCCGATTTTCGGAGGCAACGAGAAGGGAAGATGGGCATACAGCGGGGGCGCTTAACTATCAAGAAGCCACCATGCTTTTCGTCAGGGTCTCCTTGGTTTCTTCGCTCCGCGCGCACCGCGGTGACTTCCCGCAGCCGTCGAAGAAGCTGTTGCGTTCATGGTGTTCCAGGGTGTCCCTCGGGTGCACCTCGCGCTCGGGTGTTCAGGGTTGCGTTTTTTTTGTCCGAGGGTTCTTTGCGGCCGCGCCCGCACTGTAGGGGGGAAAGCATCGCCCCCCAATCGCCCCTTGATCGCCAATAGGGGCTCGATAGCCCTCGTCCTGCCCAGGACCGCGCGGACTTGCGAGCTGGGGTCTATGGCCGATCTCTCGGCGGTGTACCTCGGATTCCAGGTCGATGTTCCCCCCCCTTTCGTGGCCCTTCACTTGTGCGAGCGACGCAGAGCAGCGGATTCAACTTCGCGGACGTTCGCGCGTACGCTTCCCGCGTGAGGTCGCGCATACTTAGGCGGCCTCTTCGCCACGCGGTGTGCCGCGCTGGCGGCCCGGGTCGGCCGCGGCGCAGGGTCCCTGTCATACTGCGCAAGACCCGTTTCGCCGCTCGGATGTCTTCTGATATAACCCCAGGAAGCATTTAAGAACCCCCCCGGCGATATCCTTCCCAAGTGATCCTCGTCGTCGTCTGGTTTCGGGTCATGACTCGGGTCTCCAGCGGCCGTTCGGAACGATCGGGACACCTGCGCACTCGACGAGGCGCAACTGATGGAAACCACCCCGGGTTTCGGACACGTTCGGAAACTATGGAAAACTAACCCCAGGAAGCATTTAAGACCCCCCCCGCCGGCAAATCGATAACCCTTCCGCACCATCATCCATATCCGCATCATCATCATCATCATCATCATCATCAGCAGCAGCATCATCATCATCATCATCATCATCATCATCATCATCATCATCAACATCAACATCAACATCAACATCAACATCAATTTCAACATCATCATCATCATCATCATCATCATCATCATCATCATCATCATCATCGTGTCCGGGTGCTACAGCTATCGTTCGGTTATTTCGGCCCTTCGGAATATCGAATAAAAAATGCGGTGCTACGATATCGCCGGGGGGTTTCTGAAATGCTTCCTGGGGGTAGTTTTCCATGCCATGGTTTCCGAACGTGTCCGAAACCCGGGGTGGTTTCCATCAGTTGCGCCTCGTCGAGTGCGCAGGTGTCCCGATCGTTCCGGACGGCCGCTGGAGACCCGAGTCATGACCCGGAACCAGACGACGACGAGGATCACTTGGGAAGGATATGGGCTGCGGTGTGGATGCATCGACCCCCAATCGCCCATTGATCGCCGACCTGAGAGCCTACTCCGCCCCGGAACGTTCTGATTCGCTATCGGGGCTTATCGTTGATCTATCGGCGATGTATCGTCGATTGCGGCTCGATGTTCCCTTCTTGAGTTGGTCCCCGTATTATCGTTTCCGTTCACGTCCTCGATATGGAGGAGGGGGAGGGTCCACGACGGGACGCGACTCGGGTTATGGGGCTTCTATGTGACAGTGCAGCATGTGGTTGCCTGGTACAAATCTTACTGCTCTGCATTGGCAGGCTCATGTCGCCGTGCGGTACATTTTTTTGCACAAAAGGTCTACTTCGGGTTCTGCACCCACTGCGGCCTGGGTGCTACAGGAGCAGAGCGTGCGTCGTCCCTCCCAACACATTTCACAGAAAGGTGAAGTCTCCGTAGGCTTGTTGTGTCACCTTGCTGCCCCCAGCGCTCACGTATAAGCGGACTCGTTCGCGGACAATTGCTACTGCGTAGCCAGCGATTGTTCTGGCGATGCTTGTTCGAACCTTTGCCAACACACACGGCAATACGTGTCTTTGAATCAGCTAAGAGTTATTTCCCACACAGTCTTTGCACTTAGGGGTTCTTAATTTTTTCCCTGGGACTAGTGGCTATGTGGTCTAGCGGCTATGTGATCGCCGTCGCCGCCCTGTCGCCGCTTCGTCGCCATTCGTCGTGTGGGCATGCGCGTCGGTCTTTTGGCTATGTGGACGCCATCGCCGCCCCGACGCCGTCCGTCGTCTGGGCTTCCGCGTCGGGTCCGCCACCTTGTTGTTGCCGTCGCCGCCTCATCTCCGCAACAAGGACTGCGTCACATGGTTGCACCACATGGATTGCACAACATTGATGGCATTAAACAGGTAGGGCATCACATCGGTTGCACAACATTTATACGACACAGTAAATTGCATCTCGTATATTTGTCCAGCACGTTGCGCAGCACATAGATTGCACCACCTTGTTTGCACCATCTTGGTTGTGTCACATAGGTAACACCACATATGTTGGACACCATATATCGCACATATTGTGTTACACAAGATTGATTCTCCTTTCAAAAAAGAGAACAGATTCCTATAGACTCTACCCCCCCCCCCGGCGTTATCCGTCCCCCCCCGGGTATGTAAATCATATATGATTCTTAACACATGTCCATCCGAACTATGAATTTACACTATCCCAGGGGGGCCGGGATCGGTCCCCCTGAGGTATCCTTGTAAAGAACGCTACGGGGGGACACTTTTTGTTCTAACCTAATACTTTTTCAAACTTAACACTTTTGTTCTAACCTAACACTTTTTGTACGAATCCCTTGTAAAACATGGGACGCAGTGTGCACGCGCTCGTCGTCGCGCGCGCATGCCGAAATCCTCCAAAAACCTTAGTGTGCTGGAAGGATTTCGCAATCGAGTTTTCAAAAACATACCAAAACACAGGGTTTCGCAACACAGATTTGCTAAAAAAGCTTACGCGCGAGCTCTTGCGGAATCTTAGGAAATCCATAGGTTTTTCAAGATTTTCACAAACTGCGACCAAACGGGCTTCGCGCGCGCATGTCGAAATCTGTGGAACGCCCTTGCGAGTGTGCCGTCGCGAGAATCCTCTGCAGCAAATGGGACGAACTGCAGACGCGCGCGTCGTCGCGCGCGTACGCCGTAATCCTTCAAAACCCATCAGCTTCGGAAGGATTTCAACATCGTGTGTCCACAAAACCTACAAACATACAAGGTTTCGCAACACGGATTTCCAACGTGCGTGCACTCTTTTGCGTCGTCGTCGTCGCCGTCGTCGCCGTCCTCCCTCCTCCCCCGTCGTTGTCGTCGTCGTCGTCGCCTACGTCGTCATATGTCTTTCCTCGTGTTCGTCGTCGTCGTCCTCTGTGGCGTCTTGGTCGTTTCCATCGTCGTTGTCGCCGTGGTCGTCCTTCTGCTCCCTCGTCGTCGTCGTCGTCGTCGTGTTCCCTCCTCCCTCGTCGTTGTCGTCGTCGGCGTCGCGATCCTCCCTCCTCCCTCGTCGTTGTCGTCGTCGTCGCCGTCGTCGTCCTCACTCCTCCCTCCTCGTCGTCGTCGTCGGCATCTTCGTTGGCGACGTCGTCGTCGCCGTCATCTGCTTCGTCGTCATCGTCGTCGTCTTCGTCGGCGTCGTCGTCGTCGTCCCCCGTCGTCGTCGTCGTCGTTGGCGTTGTCATCGTTGTAGTCGTCGTCGGCGGCGTCGTCGTCGTCGTTGTCGTCGTCGTCGAAGTCGTTGGAGATGTCGTCGGTGTCGTCGTAGTCCTCGGCGGCGTCGTCGTCGTCGTCGCCATCCTCCCTCCTCCCCCGTCGTTGTCGTCGTCGCCTGAAGGGGAACCGGGACGGGTCCCCTTCAGGTTCCCTTGTATAAACGATACGCGGGGACTTTTTTTTCTAACGAATATTTTTTCACGAATCCCTTCTTAAAAAAACGGGACGAAGTGCACGCGCGCGTCGTCGCGCGCGCATGCCGAAATCCTTCAACAAGCCTTCGTTGTCGGAAGGATTTCGCAATTGAGTTCCCCCAAAACATACAACAACACACGGTTTCGCGACACTGATTCGCTGAAAAAGCTTACGCGCGAGCTCTTGCGAAAACTTAAAACCATAGGTCTTTCAAGATTCTCACAAACTGCTACCAAACGGGCTTCGCGCGCGCGCATGTCGAAATCTGTCGAACGCCCTTGCGCGTGTGCCGTCGCAAGAATCCTCTGCAACAAATGAGACTAAGTGCAGACGCGCGCGTCGTCGCGCGCGTATGCCGAAATCCTTCAAAACCCATCGGTTTCGGAAGGATTTCAACATCGTGTGTCCACAAAATCCACAAAAATACAAGGTTTCGCAACACGGATTTTCAACAAAAGCGTGCGCGCGCGCTTGCGTCGTCGTCGTCGTCGTCGTCGCCGTCCTCCCTCCTCCCCCGTCGTTGTCGTCGTCGCCTGCGTCGTCATCTGTCTTTCCTCGTGTTCGTCGTCGTCGTCCTCTTTGGCGTCGTGGTCGTTTCCGTCGTCGTTGTCGCCGTGATCGTCCTTCCTCCTCCTTCCTCGTCGTCGTCGTCGTCCGTCGTCG